GGGACTAAAAAATGGCAACACAGATTTTGCCGTCATGAAACATTTGGCCCCACTCTTACCTGAAATAACCTGGAGAGTAGAAATGTACCCATTGAATTCATGTCCCTGAGCAAAGAGGTTTAGTGGAAAAATGCTAATAGTATAAATGGTTACTATTTCTATATTTGATAAGAGACAGGGCATAAACTCAGAATGTAACTGGCTAGCATGCATACAGAATTTAAAAATAATACAGAAAGCCCAAAATGTTCAGAGCTTTTGGGATATGAAAAGGAAACTAGATCTCATCTTTAAATAGTAGACAAGAAAATGAAGAAGTACTTGGAATTGGGAAGTCATTCTAGAACATGGCTTTGGGTGGAAGCCTAAGTCATCACCTTCTTTGCCAATCATAAAACAAAAGGCAATTCCTAGCAGATGGCTTTAAAGGAGCCTGAGGGCATGGACTCTCACAATCTTGGTACACCCAAAGTGGGGACAATTAAGAATAAAGAGGATTGTGGAACCTTTGTCATACAACAGTGTTTTGTATTCTCTATTGTTCCATGCGTCAATCTGTAACTATAGAACTGGGCTGGAGTGAATTTCCTGGTATGAAGCTTTCACAACACTTCCAGTTCTGTTGGCCCGACCATATTCATCTGTGAATTATCAGAAAGGACTCAGGAGACCCCATGTGTCCTGCTTTCCCTGATTCTTAAATTGTTCCCCACAAGTCATATTATCTCCAAAACTGTGTGCCACTAGTATAGATCTTCCTTGTCCATTTTTCTCTATGGCCTCTTCAGAAGTGAATGTTAAGGGCCATGTTCTCCTTGGGGGATGAACAGCTCCTGTAGTTCACTTACTTCCCAGGACCTCTTGGGTACCCAAAGTTTCAAACAATCAAAATATTTTAAAGTCCAGGATCTTAATTTCTTTAATTGTACCATTCCCTCAAAAACTCACTAGGCTTCTGATATATTTGCTTCCAGTATATACCATGGGGCAGTTGCCACAGTCAAATACTTTACAAAAGAAAATTCCCCAGCCTGAATTGTTTCTTCTTGCTCCTACTTATCATGTCGTCGTCGAACCTGTTGCTTCTGCAGGTTCGCATTTGTGGGGACTTATTTCCTTACGTGTTTGGTTGACTGTGATGCTCATTCTGCTTTGTGAAATCATCTGTTGGGATCACCCAAGGCATATGATGAGGGTACTTTGATCTTATTTTCCATATGCCAATGAGACATTTGCTCGGGAACCTCATATACTTGATTGCAAAGCGTATTACTTTTTAAAAAGACTATTCTAATAAACATGAACTGATGAAAAGAGATAATCAAGAAATTTCTTAACCATGTGAAAATTAAGAAAGACATTTCTTAGATCAAAGTGAAGACTTCTTACAAACCATTTAGCAATGAGTCAAAAGAAGGACAATTTACTCCTAGTCCTATGGAGCAAGAGAATTTTTCAGTGGGACTTGGAGGGTTTAAATGCCTTCATTATTATGAACAAAAAAGATTAGAAATAAAGGAATTCACATTTCATCTGTAGAAATTAAACCAAGGATAACACTGAACCAGAAGTCACCAAAGGAATTTAATAAAGTATATTAGCTATGATACATATAAAAACAGAATATTAACTAAAATCCAAGACATTAACCTAAGGTCAGTAGAAAACTTCAAAACGAAGATTGGAATCCTAAGAGTTACACATTGAAATATAGATATTTTTGACAACTTAGAAAATTAAAATTAGGTTTAATTAACAAATTCAATAGAAAACCAATAGGGAAAAATCATGGTTACAAAAATAACAGATAAATGCTTGATGTAGTAATGTACAAAAAGTTATTGAAAATTGATAAGTGACATAAAACCCAATACAAAATGGAAAGGGATATAAATAGAAAAAATTAGCAAGAAAAATGAAATAGATCAAGAGTATCTCAAAAGATGTTTAAATTCACTTGTAGAGGAAAAAAGCAGTAGTAACTCTTCACTTTATGAGATTTTGAAAGACATAACGTCTATTTGGGGAAGGGTATGAGGAATTAGAACAAAAACTAGTAATGAAGGAATTTTTTAAATTTACAAATTATATGCATACCTAACATAATCCAGTTACACTCCACTAAAATTTATTGAACTAAATAATGGACTTGATATTCGGTGAATAGTTACAATAGCAAATCAGATCTGAAAATGCAAAAACAATTCCATGTACAAGTAGCAATTATAAATTATCTACAAATGTAGGTACCCAGAAAAATTCAGGGAATATGTGAAACAACTATTAACATTTTCTTAAAAATTATAAAAACAAACCCTGAAAAAAAATGAAGGTAAATCATTCCCTTATTGAAACAATATAAAAACAGCAAGTTTTCACAAATTTGAACATAATGTAATTTCAAATCAGTTCTGGTAAGTTTTTGTTACCCTGGACAGGCTAGAACATCATCAAGATTTATAGGTGTGAAGAAGTAATTCAATTGCATTATTGATTATTTGAAGAGAATTCATTATTTCAAAAAAAATTATCAGAATTGAATTTTTAATAGTTAGACTTTTCATAAACTTTACTACTGTACTTTCTTAATAGTGTCTTCCACTTGCAGCCCTAGCTTGCTTTCTTCACAATGAAATTCCCCAAAGTTGTTATTATCTCTGATTTCTCACCTGCCATTCTCTCTTGAAGACAATCTAATTTGGTCCTCTTTCCCATCATCCCAAATAAAGTAGTGCTTGTCAAAATCACTGATAACTTCCGTGTTCCCAAGCCTGATGGCCAATTCTCGAGTTTGTTTATCTGTTAATTGTTACATCCCCAAAGAATATAAGTTCTTTGTTTTGTTCACTACTGTGTTCCTAAAATCTATCACAGTTCCCAGCATATAGTCAAGTACAAGCTAACTATTTCCTGAATGAATGCTTATTGACTGTCCTTTGTCATTTTCCATTGTATAATTTTGTCATTTTCTATTGTATAACCTCTCTTTAGTGGGGAAAGGAAGAATATTGAAATCTGTTCATAGGTCACATGATGGTTACTTACTAGTTATTGGTAATTTTTTTTAAAAGAGATGAACTTTAGACCCACTTTTTATTAAATATATAGTGAATAGGGTGAGTCAGTGAGAGTTTTTCTATATTCTTTGTTAACTCCAATCATTTCATAATTTGACTCTGGGCTAGGAGAAAGTCTTTTTGTCTCTGAGGATTCTAGTGTAGTATATTTCCTCATGGAAAATTTTATGATAAAGATCATCTAATATAAAGCTGTCTGTCATTCACTTTTCCTCCTTCCCTTTGAAACACTCAAGCTTTGTTTTTGCAAAGATTTGACTTTGTTGTTATTTCTCTTGTTATTTTCCACCAAGTCCTTCCTACCCAACAGTACTCCCTACCCCCACCTTGCTCTATTTTTTTATTGAGGTAGTGTTTTTGTTTGTTTTCTTGCTTATTTTCTGTGTCCCCCTCCCCCCACTAGAATACAAGCTCTATGAGTTATTTTGTGCTCATCATTGCCAAATTCATCATGTCTAGAAAAGTATCTCGCATGTTATTGGCTCATAGTGTGTGCATCTACTTAAATATCAGAAGTTATGTGTATCCAATAAGGGCTAAGATTAGGATACAGGTGCAAATTATCCAAAATTGCTTTCTTTGCATGGAAACACAACAAAAATTTCAGCTGTGCATCCATTAAGTATAGTTGCATGTATTACACATGCATTCTGTTCAATGGTGTTCATTTAAAAAAATGAAGGAAATTAATTTTTGTAGCTTTTCTGCCTTCTTTTGTTTAATCTATGGGATTTGTTCTAAATCCTTTCTGGAGGATCATGGATTATTTTTAATTTGGGGGCCCCCTTTGTTTTTTCACAGTAATGTTTCCTTTTTGTTTATTTACAAGGTATGCACAGAATGAATTCCGTAAGAGGAGCAATGTACATGTCTTAATGGGGAAAAGATGATTGGTGAGGATGCAGGTATGTTTGTGTAGTTCATGGTGGCTGTAGTTTTCTTAGTGAATTAAAGGGAGAATTATCACATGAATCTAGAGCATGGCTGGAAAAGATATGATGTTTTAGTAAACCAAAGACAAGATATGGTAGTCTTATGAAAACTTAAAAACCTTTAGACAATGTTAAATGCCAATTTAAGGTTTGTAACCACTAGTTCATAGTGAAAGCAGTCAATCCTGCCTTGTAGATTTTTTTCCCAGCAATGTACAGCTACCAATAAGAATAGATGCTGAGTTCATCCAAAGTTGAGGCATTTGTATGTTGGAGAGAAATCAAGATGAATAATATAAGCAAATGTACAGGAGAGATTTTGATGAACCAATCAAAACTGTGCAAGAAGAGTGTGGTAAAAGGGGACCAAGGGATGGTGAATAAATTTGGGGGGTTAATTGATTGACAGCTTGTTCAAGTCAAAACATTTTTCTTGGGCTGTGGGGTGCTTCAACAGATGAACTGTAAGTTTAAGAGGTAGTGGGTATAAGATACCTGAAATCATCAGAGGTTTAGAGTCAAGAAAGTATAAAGCCAGAGGAATTGTCTGAGTGAATGGTAAGATCTTGGAGGTTTCCCTTGATAGCCTATCAAATCATGCATGTCTTGACACCCCATCTTTCACTTCAGATGTGTCTTATGCTGCCTCATCTTAGTAAATTTGAGTCACTTGGGTCTTCTCTTAGTTCTTTCCTTTCTTGGAGCATTCACACTAGATGCTGGTTTTATTCTGTAAATTCCCATCTTAAAGACCTTCTATGATCTGCCTCCCTCACCCATATTCTACCCACACATTTTACATCTCTCCTTTCTTTGTCTCTCAATTTATGTTGTATCAAAAGCATGTTTTTCCACATCATATTATATTCCTCGATACTCATACCACATATCATTCTTCATTGTTATAATTATGTTTTAAATATTTTTAGACATTAATAGGCCTTTGTTTTGTTTATTTATTTACATGTGGTGCTGAGAATCAAACACAGTGCCTCGCACATGCTAGGAAAGCACTCTACCACTGAGCCACAACCCCAGCTCCATAATTATATTTTGCTTTAACACTTAACTGTAAACTCCACAAAGGTAAGAATCATATTTATTCTATTTGGCATTGTATTTCTACACTTTTAGTATACTGAAAGGGTATACTCTATGGGTGCTTAATGTAGAAGAATAAGCAAATGACAAAATGAACATAAATATGTGTATGTATGTACATATGTATATATAGTTTGTATGTTTCATATGTATGACTATACATATAGATTTATCATATATATGGACATATATATGATATTTGCCTCATTTTGTTGTAAACTTGTATATGATAGTTTTAATGTTGAAATTACTAGAGGGTCTGTCCTATATTATTATGGTGGCGAGAATTAATTTGTCTTATAAACTAGCTTTATGAGTTATAGAGTTTTCACCATTACACTATTTTTATATTAGATTCTGAAATAGAATGCTGATTTTCTGATCATTATTCCTTTCTTTCTTTCATTTTTTTACCACATTTTCTTTGACTTTTTTTTTCACAGACATTCCCCACTCCTCTGCTAGTAGTTCTAATCTCCGACAAAATAATCCAAACTACTGATGAGGATTCAAAGAGGTACCCATGGGATTATTGAATAAAAAATTTTATTTCATCCTAGCTTTTTGAGAAACTCCATTTTACAAGATAAGAAAAAGTTCTTATTAAAAATAATCACTGATATTAATTTAGCCATTATAAATTATGCTTCAAAGAACCCAACGTAAACCTGTAAATCTTCCGTCATGGCTTTACCTCTAACATTGTCTCCTTTTATCATGTGGCAAATAATCCCCCAGCATTATAACATATTTCCTTTTGGATATCCTGAGAAAAATGGCTGAGCTCATATATATATATCATCATTTAAATTTAATAAAAATCCAAACAGAATCAACTCCTAATTATTATTATTTTTTACATATAATGCTTGTATACTTACAAAATTATTGGACATAGACAAGGGATTCTATGAAGTAGTCAGTGATTCCATAAGTTGGTGCAGGTGATCTGGAGCTATGTGAAAGGGTGTTATAAGGCCATGGGGGTCTCACAGACACCCCAGACAGGAATATAGCTGCCTTCAGATGGGCAGAGGGATGGGAAGAGTCTTCTCTCCATCTTTCTTTTTCCTTTCTGAGTACTCACTTAATTTTTTGTTTTTCTTTGCACAGATTGTTCTGCTACACTGTTCAGATATAACAGGAGATGTGACAACTGGTCAGCTCCCAGGTTTGCATTTCTATTCAGGTGGAACCTCTTAGACCCAATCAAATTCTAAGGATGGGACTCTGGCCCTGGACAGACAAGGGTCAGTCAAACTTAGGTCAGTTTCTGTGACCAGAGACATAATGCCATGAAGTAATAATCTTTCGTGTCAGAATTCAGTCTGGTGATCTTGTGGGTCAGCTAGGTCAGTTCCTAGGGAGGAGCATCACTAAGTGGAAAATTTAATAGGTTTCCACTTACAAGACTAATTTAATACAAGTGGCTAAAAGGCTGTCTTTTTTTAAAAAATAGGCACAATTTATTATTTAATGCATACATTGATGATGGATTTATATTTAAAGGTAGAATAATGTTACTCTTCATCTTCAGAATTCTTCAACAAATTTACCATTCCTCTGTAACAATCTATAGGATAAATCTCAAACTTGTACCTTCCCTCACAGAAGAATCACTAAAATCTGGCTCTAGACTTCTAATCAGGTACAGTTTTGCATCCCTTCCTGATCCATCAGCCAAAATGAAGAATTTCTCCTTAATCTCAACTTCTTCTCCATGCCTTTGGTTATCTGTTTAGTTTGAAATCTCTTTCCCATCCAACATGGCGGCGGGCGGAGAGGCAGCGTTTTCAATACCCCCCCCCCCAGTGATGGGGTCATAAAGACGCATAGATAACGCTTAGATTCTACCAACGGAGATCTCCTAGCAAAATTCCACTGAAGAGAGACAGGCCGGGAGCTACTAGGATTTTTTTTTTAAATTTTTTATTGTTGGCTGTTCAAAACATTACATAGTTCTTGATATATCATATTTCACATTTTGATTCAAGTGGGTTATGCGCTCCCATTTTTACCCCATATACAGATTGCAGAATCACATCAGTTACACATCCATTGATTTACATATTGCCATACTAGTGTCTGTTGTGTTCTGCTGCCTTTCCTATCCTCTACTATCCCCCCTCCCCTCCCCTCCCCTCCCCTCTTCTCTCTCTGCCCCCTCTACTGACATTCATTTGTCCCCCTTGTATTATTTTTCCCTTTCCCCTCACTTCCTCTTGTATGTACTTTTGTATAACTTTGAGGGTCTCCTTCCATTTCCATGCAATTTCCCTTCTCTCTCCCTTTCCCTCCCACCTTTCATCTCTGTTTAATGTTAATCTTCTTCTCATGCTCTTCGACCCTACTCTGTTCTTAGTTACTCTCCTTATATCAAAGAAGACATTTGGCATTTGTTTTTTAGGGATTGGCTAGCTTCACTTAGCATAATCTGCTCTAATGCCATCCATTTCCCTGTAAATTCTATGCTTTTGTCATTTTTTAATGCAGAGTAATACTCCATTAAGCGACAGATTGTCCCAGACGAGCGAATCCCTGCCAGGAGACGCAGAGGTCCAGTTCCAGCCACAGTCTGCGCACCCGGGGCGCGGCTGCCAGCCCGTCCGCCAGCAGCAAATGTGACTGGGTCCCGCTAACCTCCGAGACGCAGCTTGGCAGGAAGAAGCCTTCATGAAATAGCGAGCTGGGAGCTGAAGCCAACCTGGGACGGACCAGTCCCACCCCTCCCTTGGGACACTCCAGCAAGGAGCCTGGGGCCCGCCATAGCAGAGAGGTGACGTCATCGGAGGTCGCTGATGGAATTCCTTCCCAGCAGAATCCACTTCAGCAGGTGTGTGACTCCCTCCCCATCCAGATACAAGCAGCCACAAACTTCATGGACCTCTCAGGGGTCGTGTCTGTAGGGTAGCAGAGGGGATCCCCGACCCCCAACCCCCCATATCACCAGCGGTGACTCCCAAGGTCTTAGCCGCCAGTTTACCACAGCACTGGGGCTTAAATGGGACACACGGTGGAGCTGCAAGTGTAACTAGATCTCTGGGGAACCGCTTCTGGTGAACAAGACCTGGCTGGCTGGCTGACAGGAGGAAGGGGGGTAAGGGCCGGAGAAGTGAAACGGCTCTGGACTGACAAGTCCAAGAGACTACCAGGAGACGCCTTACAGGAATTGCTAGGGGCAGGTAGAGAATAGAAGCTCCACTTGGAGGGCACAGCTCCGCCTACTGGAAGAGAAGAAAATGAATCTCTAAGACTTCAATATTTTTTTTTCTTTTTTCTTCTACTCTCTCTGTTCCTTTCTCCACTTTTCCTTCTCTCTTTCTTTCCCATTTCAAGTTTTATTGTTCTTTTCATTCTCCTTTAATCTATCTCTCTCTTCTTCTTTCTTTTTAAGAGCACCTTCATTCCCCTACCCCCCAACTTTCATCCCAAGCATTACGTCTTCCATTACATGTAATTGTCTAAATGCAAATAGGTGAATGTCTCGAGGCTGTCTATAGGGCTCCTAAAGACCTAGCTACTACCAACACCTTGATCCAATTGCCTGTTAGTATCCACCTTCAGTAGAGCAATCTTCTAAAGTAGCCAAGACATACTAACCCTCGTACCATCATAGCACCTAACCTAAACATATAGTCCTAAGAACAAACAACAAATCACTATATGCATACAGGATCCAGAAGCCTTTTATGAATTGAATGAATCAGCTTTAAAGTACAATAAAGCCCAACTGCCGCAGTCCGGCTGCAGCAAAATAACTGGGGGGTGGGGGTGGGGTGACGAACAACTTGTGTAGACTGATACAGCAGGAGTAGGAGCTGTTTATTGTAGGACAGGAGCGATATTTATACATTTCACACAGCTTATCTAATTAACATAAACTAGATACATCAGTCAACCAATAAGAAATCTCCACACTTAATGGCTCGCTGGCTCCACCTCACAAACCACTCCCTCTGGCATTTTGCCAGGCGCCATCCAGACTTGTTTACAGACTCTAACATTTCCCCCTTTTGTTTAATTTAAATAACGACCATAGTGGTTTTTACACAAACACCATAAATAATCTGCTACAAGCAGAAAGGGAGGATACAAATGTCACAATACCAAGCCAATTGATGGCTCCATGCAAGAAGCCCTTGGAAAAATTATACCAGCAATGACAAGGTTTGCAAAGATACCGAGTTACAATTTGTTGTAGATTACAGTTTGTTGTCTCAGTCCAGGTAAAGCAGTGTCTCAATAGATTAACTCACAGTCCAGGTAAATCATAGTCCAGGTAAGTTCTGCAGGCAGCTAGCTTGATCCAAAGTCTCATCCGGTTTTCAGCAACACTGGAAATTTTTCCACCTTGGTCTTTACCGGCACTGGGACGAAGGCAGAAACTCTGGATGGCTAAAGAAAATCCTGTAGCATTCTACTAAGAAAACAACCTTCTGAACAATTTAGTACATTATCTCAAGGTTTTTTTTGCATTTGAAATAAGCATTAATAGTGCTCATTACTCATCAGCTTCCACATGTGGGAGAACCATTGTAGCTTAGTTATTGGCATTGAAAATGACCAAACATCAGGGACACCAGTAGCGTCTTCTGCTGGCTGTGGTGTCCTGGGCAGCCCCAGATGGCCCTGGGGAGAGTCCTGGTCTCAAACTGCTTCCAGACACAGGGAGCAAGAGCCTGCGAGACTGTGCCTCCAGATCAGGTCTAGATTTGGGCTCGTGGCAGTGGAAGAGCCAGCTCCCCGGCCAGGAGGCGGGGAAGGGCCAGTCGCCGCCGCCTCTTGGAAAATCCTTGCTGCGCTGTGACCGGCTTGCACACTCGGCAGCCGCCTCTCCGCTTCACGCACCCTCCGGTAACGAAAAGTATTCAGTAATAGCCTTTTGCTGCAACTTTTTTCCTGATAATCCTTACTCCTCTGAACTTTCTTCTTTCTGACTAGAGTTCCCAGGCTTCCATCAACACATGCCCTAACTATTCTTGGTTCCACTGGGGTGTCTTCTTCCCTTAGTAATTTACTTCTCACCCCTTCCATATTTTCATCACAAAGACAATACAATACACTGAGACAAAACAAGACACAAACATACTGTATCGATCTTCTCCATTTTCTCGAAATGGCCATTTTTCCTCTCGCCCTATCTGCCTAGGGACGAGCAGATTGCTCCCGTCCTATCTATGGATGGGCAGCTTTTTTTTTTCATCACTTACCCCCGAGTGTCCCGGGGCTCCCCGTAATGGGCCACCATCTGCCGCAGTCCGGCTGCAGCAGAATAACCGGGGGGTGACGAACAACTTGTGTAGATTAATACAGCAGGAGTGGAAGCCGTTTATTGCAGGACAGGAGCAGTATTTATACATTCCACACAGCTTATCTAATTAGCATAAACTAGATACATCAGTCAACCAATAAGGAATCTCCACACTTAATGGCTCGCTGGCTCCACCTCACAAACCACTCCCTCTGGCATTTTGCCAGGCGCCATCCAGACTTGTTTATAGACTCTTAACATTTGCTAGGCACCATCCTGACTTGTTTACAGACTCTAACACCCAACATTTCTAGACATAATCTCCCACCACAAAGGAGAGACAACAGAGATATACAAAGCCAAAACAAGTGTATAGGAGAAAGCAGTTACAAAGCAGTCAAACAGAGCTGGAAAGTAACGTGAACAACATGAAAAAACAAGGGAAAAAAGGACTACAAACAATGCAGGACAATTTAAATCTACAGGAGGACCTAGAAGCATCAGAAACATGGACAGGGAAAGAAATCAAGGCATACCTAACTCAGATGGAACGGAATATTAGAGAAAACATGAGACAGCAAGTCCAAGCATTGAAAGTATATTTTGAAAACGAACTAAACAAACAAATTCAAACTGCAAAGACCGAGCTTTACCAGGAGATAGAGATTTAAAAAAAAAAACCAAACAGTAATCCTAGAAATGCAAGAAACCATAAACCAGATTAAAAACTCTAATGAGAATATTACAAATAGACTAGATCAAGTAGAAGTCAGAACATCAGATAATGAAGACAAAGTTTATCAACTTGAAAAAGAATATAGTCAACACAGAAAAGATGCTTAAATCTCACGAGCAATCTATCCAAGAGATATGGGATCTCATAAAAAAAAACAAATCTGAGAGTCATTGGGATAGAAGAAGGCACAGAGGATCAAACCAAAGGAATGGACAACTTATTAAATGAAATAATCCTAGAAAACTTCCCAGAGATGAAAGATGGGATGGATTGCCAAATCCTGGAAGCCTACAGGACCCCAAACATCCAAAACCATAATAGACCAACTCCAAAACATATAATTATGAAGACAGCTAACATACAGAACAAGGAGAGAATATTAAAAGCTACAAGAGAAAGGAGGCAGATTACATTCAGGGGTAAACCAATTAGGTTAACGACTGATTTTTCATCACAGACTTTGAAAGCGAGAAGATCCTGGAACAACGTGTTTCAAACGCTGAAAAATAATGGATTCCAACCAAGAATACTATATCCAGCAAAATTAAGCTTCAGATTTGACAATGAAATTAAAATCTTTCACGATAAACAAAAGCTAAAAGAATTCGCAGCCAGAAAACCAGCACTGCAAAGCATTTTGAGCAAAATACTACAAGAAGAGGAACTGAAAAATAGTGCCCAAAACTAACAGTGGGAGGTATCTCAGTAAAGGGGGAGAAAAATAACCAAAGAGGAAAAACTAGCAAAACTAAAATAAATAAATAAATAAACATGGCTGGAAGTACAAACCATATTTCAATTGTAACCTTAAATGTTAATGGCTTAAATTCACTAATCAAGAGACATAGGCTAGTAACCTGCATTAAAAAAAACAAATCCAACAATATGCTGCCTTCAGGAGACTCATATGATAGGAAAAGACATACACAGGCTGAAGGTGAAAGGTT